AATACCAGCGATGCCAGTGACCTTTTGGTGGTATCTGATGAGGATGCAAGAAGTACATCTTGACTCCGGCTATGTCTCAGTGGCCAATGAAGAATGATCGTCATAAGTTTTAGGATGCATATATTGAAGAAACTAGTTTCAGTTTTGGCGGCCTGATATCAGCATCTTGGTGATCTGACCTCAATTAAATATAGCTGTGGATTAGACATCTGGCTAACTTTTGCTTCTGTTGTCCAATAGATTAAAGAGATTGTGGCAATTGCCTTTGGGGTGAGGACACAGATACCAGTTCTCAGAAATCATTTCTGGGTCATCCAAATGCCTAGAAAGGACATAATGACTTTGGTCCAGTAAACCATGGTTTATTTTACTGAGAATGTTCTACCCACATCCTCTTTCCTTCCTCTCATTCCTTGTTAGGAAAAACATTCAGAGTTTGTAAAATCATGGTTGCCTATCTAAAAATGTACACTGTGTTTTAATTCAGACTTCTTGTCAAAGCTTAAATTAGTTTCTTAATTCAGTGGTTTCTTCAGTGTTTTCCAATTACTTTAACCAGACCTGTAAGTACTGTACAAAGAATAAAGGGGAAGGAAAGTGCTAGTAGAAACAACACTTACTTATTGGACCACATCTGAACTGCAGCTAAAGTGGCATATTTGATTCTATCAAATATTCATAAAACTGAGCCAGAAATTTGTGGAAAAACAATTTTGCTTTGCTGATTTTTGGCATCTTTTATTTGGAAATAAACTCAGTGGAGCTCACTAATTCCCCCTCCCAAATACGCTTGACAGATAGAATGGGGCAATATTTAAATCTCTTTAGAGTAAATCATGTATATATTTTTGCAAGATATGCTTGTCTATTTTGGAGAAATAAGCCCAACTGATTCAACTCATTTTGATGCCAATGTTTTCAAAGTGACTGTCCTACCAGTATGTTGCTAGAAACAACATGTCTAAGACTGAGACATATCTGTGCTAATAGGTCAAAGATACTCCAGAGAAAGTGCTGCCCATATACTCAATAAGCAGTCATTCTCATTTCAAGTTTGAAAAGTTGTAAATAGAAATATACTGCCTTGAGCTGCAAATAAAGGAACTCTTTGTCTCCTGCTGTTATCAGAATTATTGTGCAGAAGAAACTCCACACCACACATTGCCTTTTCTGACCTGCCAGACGATCTGTGATATCCTGCAGAGCTCGGCCAGTGATAAAACGCACCCTGCTGGCAAATATTTGAAGCAGCAACAGGTTATCTGAAAGGGACAAACATATTGTTTGGATGGAAACCATCACCAACCAATGAAGAATGGATGTGGGAGGTTACAGAAGTTACCACATAATAAACAATGAACATTTTCAGGTGTTGATGTGCTTGAATTGAGAAGAATTTGTTTTTGCAAGTTTAGAATTGGTCCTACAAGCTAGTATCCTTCATTAATATATGCCAGTCTTCCCCAACTTGGCACTCTTCCAATGTGTTGGGACTGCAATTATCAGAGTTCCCCAGTAACTAATTCTGTCAATTGAAGGCTTTGAAAAGAACTGAGCTTGAAGCAAAATGACTACTGTATGAATATCTTGTCTCAGATACTGCATCTGTGAGAGTCAACTGGCAAACAAAAGTAACAATTAAAAAGGTAGAATTGTACAACTGAAGCTCACACGGTTTGCTTTTGCTTGCAAATAATTAACTAGGCATCAACGTATCTTGCTTGGCCAGACATTCTTTCCCAATGCATCCAAATGTAATCAACACTCCCATTTCAATCCATCTCACACTATTAAAAAAGCAAACTATTTTAAATAATGATATTTTTAAAAGCATACTGAACAAACAAACATTATTTCCCACAAGCAAATTGCCAAATGTTACACATCTGTATTTGTTATATTCAGATGAAATAATCAGATGATGGAAATCCTGGATGCAATTTTGAGAAGTCAGGGGAAATAAACAAGCTTAGAATGATTGTCAGTAGATGGACAGTTTGGAGGTTGCAGTGAAAGAGTAACAGCAGTTGGACTAGATTCTGGGTTACAGTGAAGCAAAGCAAGTGCCAGCAGTTAGGGGACTCAAAAGGTATCAGATAAGCCACTGAGATATGCCAAAAGGCAATCTACATGCTTGCACAAACAATTCCTCTCTTGGGACTCTTCTACCTGGCTATCGACTTTGCTTTCCCAACCACATGTTGTATTCTTGCAGTGCTCTGTAGTCTTAGCAAGATTCCTTTCTTTAAGCTGGCCAGCAGTCACTCTAGCTGGCCAATGGGGGAGTATTAAATTGGCTGCTAGCCAGTTCCCTCTTCCCTTCCTTATTACTTCACCATTCTTCTTTTTGTGCCAAGGCCAAAAATGTAAGTTTTAACAGGCCACTGTGTAAGGGTGTGGCAAATCCATCCTCATTGTATCTGTTGAGGAAGGAAGGGTGGTACCTAGGTGCATTAGCACCCTGGAACCTGGAAGGGGGGCAATTTAGAAACCAGGAGCTGGGAGCACTTACTGATGGAAAACCACTCATCCTTCAGTTCTCAAGAAAACACTGCCAAACTGTCTTTGGAGCATTTCCTCTGAAGTAGAAGCCATAAGTTAGGAGCTTCTGAAGCCCCACAGATATCTTACAAAATTTGGGGATGGGTTAAGGAGGTGGCAACAATCTCAAATCTGTGAAGTTCAAGATCAGTTGCCCTAAGATGCAACTGATATAAGATATTCAGAGAGAAGCACTCCCACTCTATCTAGTTGGTCCACTTAACTCAGTATGGTTTATTTCAGAGCTGCTCCAAAAGTTGGGTATCACTTATATACAGTCCCTGCAGGCCCTCCCATAGTTGCCACTAAATGTGATAGAAGGGAAAATTT